TCCTTTGACTGATTCCTGAGGGCTCGGAGTCAGCTTATGTGGCTGGTGGCACCAGGATCTTTTTTTTTTTAAGTATGTACTATAGAGAACAGTAGAGAGAACAGTACCGAGAGCCCTGTCTCCACCTCCCAGTCAGAGCCATGGCTGACCTGCCCTCCTCTGTACCCCTGCGGCTCACACCCTGGAAGTGATTCACCATTTTGCAGAAATTCCGGCATCATTGCTCATCTAAGAAAGATTTTTTTTTAATGAGGGCCCAAGTCTTTGTCATTGCATTAAACCAGTGGCCAGTCATCTGGTCAGGACTGTTACTTTGTGGCTTTGTGATCTTGGGTGAGTTCTTCACCTCTCTGACACTTGTCCCCCACCTGCCGTGCTGGTGTCCCTGGGGGTCTGCTCCGAAAGTGAGGGCAGTGCTCATGTGTGGTGAGGCGCCTGCTTCTACAGAGGGTTTGCCAGTGCTCAATTATTTGCCACACAGGAAGTGGCCCTCCCTCCAGCCCTGCCGCCTATCACTGTGCACTAGCTCTGCTCTAAAAGTGCCAGTGGGTGGGAAGCTTGCCTGCTCAGTGGGCCCAGAGTGCTCCCGCCAGCCTYTCTTCGAAGCCAGGGCTCTGCATCTTGGGGCCAGTTCTGCCCAGTACCTGAGTCCCGTGTAGGATGTGGCTTGCTCCATCCTTAGTGTGGAACTCAGCAGGGCCACCTGTCTGTCCAGTCAGATGAGAGGGCTGTCATAGCACCAAGTTGGCCTGCGCGCGGTTCGGGCCCCTGGGGCTTATTATTTGCTCTTATTTTCTCTGCCTAAAAATAGCATTTTCCATTTTGGTGCCTGGTTGAGAACAGAGCCATTTTGGGGTCAGAGGTTAGGCCAGCCGGCCTCCTGATGCCTGCTCGAGTGGACGGCGAGCCCTAGGGAAGCAGGGCCCTGTTTTAACAAGTGGTTCACTGCTAACGTTAAAGTAAGGTTTGATTTTAAAAGAAAAGGAGAAAATATGTTCATAGCCAGAAAAAGCAGTGTGTCGGAGTGAGCGGAGCYGGTGCCCCTCCTGGAGGGCGCTGCTGGCACCACCCATCAGCTGCCTGGACCCTGCGTTCACTGCCCACTGCCAGGCATTTCCCGGTCAGGCCAGTACCGCTGTACTCTGCTGGTGTGTGCTGACCACATGGGGGTTCTGACCCAGGGCTCCAGGCTGGACCCAGGGGAAGAGGATGTCACAGGGCTTGGTTTCTGGCAAGTCTCCCATCAAGTGCTGCCTCCTCCTTCCGAAGCCCTGGGGTGTCTGACCTTGCTGCTCCCGCCCCCCGCCTTTCCGTCTCCCAGCTGGAGTTATAGGAACCGGCTGGTGAAATGCGCCGCTAATGAGTAACACCTGGCCCATGGCGAGGCAGGGCACGTCCCGTGCTGCAGGTGCTGCAGGCCTGCCCACTCCAGCCTGGTGCTGCTGCCCTCCAGGTGGTACCCCAGCCGCACAGACCCCGTGCTTGGCTCGGGCCCAGTGCTGGCTGCCCTAGTTTGGGTGTCTGCTCCCTGAGAAGAGAGACACAGTGCTCTTCTCTCCTCAGCTGGACCTGCAGGACRCTAGGTATTTTGGTACTTCCTGAAGCCTGGGTGTGTGTGCACTTTTGTGTGTGTGTTTTGATTTGGGATTCTGAAGAGAGGAGCAGTGTTACTAATTAATTCTCTTAAATCCCTCAAAGTGGCGTTTCTAGGACTGGAAGCAGTTGCCCCAGGTCACGTGACGTTGTCTTTGTCTCGTGCGCTTGACATCTCCGTGGACTCATAGGATATCAGGGCCAGATGCCGTTAGCCCTGTGTGTCCTTGCAGATCTGTACCCTGTAGCTTCTCCACCAAGGCCTCCAGGGACAAGGAAGCAGTGGGGGCCAAGCAGGGGACATTGGCTGGTCTAGAGACTGGAGGTTGGGCAGTGCCGACCTGGTGTGGCCTTGACATTTGTGGGCATGCCAGGGATCTTGCTCACAGCAAGAGACCCCAATTCTGGCCAACTTAGAAAGGAATTTGCTGGGGAGGCTATTGGGCAAAGGACATAGGGCTGATTGGCACCTGGRTGACGGGCTGAGGATGGACAGGAAGCATAGTGACATCTCTTTCCTCTCTAGCTTTGAGGCTGGAAGCAGCTCCAGGCAGCACTTTGTCCCTTGCTTAGGGTGACCTGGTTCGGAGCCCATTCCTGGCTGATGCTGGCTCTGTTCTTCTCAGCTCCAGCTTTCTGGGACCCAGGTGTGGGCGCTGGGGATTGCTCTCCCAGCCCACGGGTTGGGGGGAGTTCAAAACAAACCCAAGAAAAGCAGCCGGGTTTGTTAGGGCGGGAGCTGGCTGTCAGGCACCTGGATACTGACCGCCATGTGGGACACTGACACGGGGGCCCTGGAGTGCCTGTGATGAGAAGGTGCTTGCCACCAGGGGAGGGCAGAGCTGGTCTGGGCAGGAAGGCCCTGGACAGGAGGAGGCTGAGGATTGGGAGGTTGGGGTTGGGGTTCAGGGAAGAGGTTTAGACCCAGTTGAGGTTGGAGGTAGTGAGTTTGTGGCCTTCAGAGGTGACACGGGAGACTTTTCCAGGGCCCACAGAGAGAGGGCAAGACCAGGCTGTGCCACAGGCTGCTAGAGTTGCCACCAGAAAGCCATCCAGGTGAGGGGCGGGGGGCTGCATGGAGGAGCTCGTGCCTGGGCAGGGTCAAGGGGCAGTGTGGGGCACCAGGGCCTCTTTGAAGAGCCTCCACGGGTCACCAGCTGAGGAGGACACGGTGGGCTGCGGCTCTGGCGTGGAAGGAGGGGCTGGAGCTGGAGGAAGGGGGCCTCTGTGCTTCTGCGGGTCTTGTGCAGGGCCCAGCCCAGAGCTGCCGTTTCTTCTCTCTCTAATGAAGACGCAGTAAGACCCTTCATGTGGCAGACCTGGGGCTGGTCGTGAGCCAGAGGCGGAGGGCAGGGGCGAGGCCTGCGGCTCCTCTGCACGCAGACGCCGAAAGCCCAGTGCCTTAGGTGCCTCTGATCTGCCCACGGAGCACACGTTTCTGCCCGCACCCCGGAGGGACCTCTTGGGTGGAAAATGTGAATTGCCACTCAGGATTTGCCACTGTGTCATACTGGGTGGACACGGGTGCTTCCTGCCTTGTGTCCAGTCTAGGTGGGTTGTGAATGCCTGGCTGCCTCCCTCCTGAGTTTCCAGAGCTGGGCGCTCTGTGGCCTTCTGCTCACCGAGGGGTGGAAGCTGTGTGGAAGGCTGCTCCAAGGAACCGCTGGGCACTGTGACCCGGACAGAAGAGCCACTTCCTGGACAAAGAGCCATTTGCGTGGCTTGTGATGAGGAGCAGGAATGGGCGCTGGAGGGGAGGACAGCCCAAAGGAAGGAGCCAGAAAGCAAGGCGCGCGAGGGAGGCGGGAGGCGCGGCATGTGCCTCCGTCCCAGCAGTGTCCAGCTGTGGGTCCAGGGGGTGTCCTCATGCTTCCTGCTCAACTTTGCTACATCCACGTCCCACCTGTTTATTACTATCACCTTGAAAACAAAAACAGCAAAACAAAATCAAGGCTTAGCAACTGTGCTGGGTGGGGCAGGTGAACTCCGGTTGGGAGCTGCAGTCCTAGACTGTGGGGAGCCGCAGTCGGCCCGTGCTGGGGCGTCTCGGCCTGGGCTGGTCCACTCCTCTACACGGCTGCGCCCTCTGCCACCAACATGGTCTTTTATTTTTTAAACTTAATTCACTTTAGGTACGTAGGTAGCTTAGAGACCCCTTCTCTCTGTAAGTAGCCAGATACGGACAGTGCTCAGGGTCCCTGTGAGGACCCCCATCGCAGACCCTCCCCCATGGTGGCCCAGTCATGGCTGCCCGCAGCTGCTGTGTTGGCGGTCCCTGTTGTGGCGGGAATGGGAGACGTCTGCTTTGTCCTGCGGTTGTTTTCAGAGGATCTTTTACACACAGATCTTTTTAAATGGCTTTAATACATGAAAACAGTAACRCATTCAGTAATGCGCCCAGTGTAACAGGGAGTCCTGCGCCAAGGGGGACTCCACGACAGAGCTGGCCAGCCCCCTCCTCTGCTGAGTCTTAAAGCGGCCTTCTGCCTGCAAGAGGAAGGGCACCTGTCCCGTGGCCCTCCGCAGCCTCCCTGTCTTTCCTCTCCAGCTGATGTCCATCCCCCTCATACTGGGTGCTGGGGACCCCCTTCTCAGGCACGTGGGCCCCGCTGGCTCTTGCTCCTGCAGGCAGAGGCGTGGGCAGGCCAGGGCTGGGTCCAGACTCTCTGCGCTCCCTGCTGGCTCTGCGGGCCTGGTGGTGTGACTCTGGACTCGTGTCTCCATCTCAGCCTCGTCACCTGTACTCAGGAGGTGCCAAGGCCTACCTGGAAGGGCTGGTGGGACCCATCGGTCACTGCATATGAGAGACGYCTAGAACAGGCACCCGTGCGAGCCTTCTCCTCACTTGGCAGCTGCTCTTTACAGTTGCACCCCAGGACGCAGCTCAGGCCCGGCCTGCAAGTGCTCTATGCATGTTTGGATGTTGAAGGAGGGGACAAAGGGATAAGGAGGTGCCTACYATGCGTGTGAGAATGTGCAGCGACACAGGCTTTGTGTGGGGACACGGTGATGATCTGAACACGATGCTGTGTGCAGTGGGAGCTCACTGCAGGCTCTGCACACACTGAGCAATGTCTTGAAGGTGTGCATTGGGGACAGTAATTGGGATCAGGGGACTGTGAGGGGATCACAGCTGTTGGCTGTGAGCAGAGACAGGAAGACCCCAGCAGTTGCGGAGGTCTCAGATACCAACTCCAGGCCCTTCTGCCTTCCTGCAGCCACCGTCCGGCCTCTACTTATCTGAATACTCCAGGAAGACAGAAACCGCAAGGTGTGGGCGTCCACCCCGCAGGGCGGGGCCTACACTCTTGTCTGCTGGGCCGCCTGTGTGTTCAGGTGCCATGGAATGGCGGAGAYGGGCCACACATTTTGATGAAGCCCTCCACCTCTTGCGTGTTGATTCCCAGGCAGTGCCACCGTCGAGAAGCTGGAGGACTTCATCAACAACATCAACAGTGTCTTGGAGTCCTTGTATATTGAGATCAAGAAAGGAGTCACTGAAGATGACGGGAGACCCATTTATGCCCTGGTAAGTGCAAGGCGGTGCCCTCTGGTGGCGCTTCGAGGAGCTGGAATGGCCGGCTGGACAGCCTGCGTCCCCTGGGCGGTGGAGAGCTCCCTGCTTGACGGGGCTCAGGGGGAGGGACACGGGAAGAACTGACAACACGTCGCCCCTCAGGTGATGGRCACAGCCTGATCATCGTGCTGACTTATTTTTTAGGTCAATCTTGCTACAACTTCGATTTCAAAAATGGCCACAGATTTTGCAGAGAATGAACTCGATCTGTTTAGGAAGGCTGTAAGTASAGCGGCTCTGTTGCCTGTGCTGCTCATGGGAAACTCCACCTCCACCTCTAGAAAGGGGACGACAGTCTTTGAGGGTCACCGGGGGACGCCACAGGCCACCGCAGCTGCCTGGGAAGGAAGCACTGGCCTGCGTGAGCAGGGCCTCGCGGGAGTGACAAGTGCCGCCATCTGGGTGCTGTCCAGGGATGGCAGCACCTGCACCCGGGGGCTTGGTGGGGACTCTAGACCCCTGGCCCACTCACACTGACAAACCTGAATTTGCCTGGTAACCAGTGCCCATGGAGCCACCTGCACAGCCACACTTGGGAGGTGACATTCTCCAGGCCGTGGAGCTGCTGGCTCAGCCCTCTAGTCACACGCCTGGGTGGGCACCTGGCTGAGACAGTGGTTCTCAGCCTCGAGCCATGGCGGTCACTGGGGAGGTGAACAAGGCCACAGTCACCTCCCTCCAGCTCTGTGGAGTCCGACTCTCTGAGGATGGGGCCTGGAGCCAGTCCTTTACAGACCYGGGGGCCGGGGGGGGGGGKTTGCCAGTGGCCATGGTTGAGAGCCAGGCTCTAGGACAAGAGGCACACAGCTGCACGCGTGGGAAGCCACTTTCCTGTTGGCTTCTGTCCTGCTGTGTGCAGGAGTTTCACAGTGCTTGCCTGGCCCCGAGTCCAGGTGGCCAGTGGGCTCCTGCGTGGCCTCTYGCCCTGGCCAGCTGTGGCCCGCTTTCCTGCCCACACACCTTTAGTGAGGAGAGGCGCTGCCCCATCCAGCACTCCTCCTYTCCTGCCTTTTCTCCTTCAGGGAGGTGGGTGGGGCGTGAGAAGGAGGCGACGCTCCTGGGTTTCTGGACACGGAGATCATTGATTTGGGATGTTAYAGGAGTGGCCCTGAGTCCGCAGGACTGGACCTGCTTCAAGCTTTGGATATTATGGAACTGCCTTCYTGAGGGCTGTGTGCAGGTGGCAGGGACGGAGCGGTTGTCCTTCCAGAACTGAGAGTTGTTCTTCCAATTGAATTGGTGACTGAGGTGCCTGGCTCTCTTCCAGCTGGAGCTGATTATTGACTCGGAAACTGGTTTTGCATCTTCTACAAACATCTTGAACCTGGTTGATCAACTGAAAGGCAAGAAGATGAGGAAGAAGGAGGCGGAGCACGTGCTGCAGAAGTTTGTGCAGAGCAAGTGGCTGATCGAGGTACTGCCCGTGGCCTCCACCTGGGCACTTTCTACACTAAATGACGGTTTTTTCTTTAAAACCATATTTGTGTCCAGCTGATGTCTGTTGAGCCTGGCCCTTTTGGGTCCCTTGTTGCTCTAATGCCCTCGGGGGCCCTGTGGGAGGGACTTGGGCCCCTCATGTTCTCTTGATGCCACAGCCAGAAGTGCTGGAGCTGGGAACTGCACCCAGGGTTTGGGATCCAGGGTTCATTTGAGTTTCTGGTCCACAGACAGTGAAGTGGGTAGGTCAGGGACAGTGAGGTGGGTAGGTCAGCGGGGACAGTGAGGTGGGTAGGTCAGCGGGGACAGTGAGGTGGGTAGGTCAGCGGGGACAGTGAGGTGGGTAGGCCAGCAGGTGTGAGCACAGTTGTGGCGTCTGACCTGAGCCTGACCTCTGGTCCAGGTGACTTACTTTACCACTTGTGACTGGGTGTGGTACAGTCCCCTCCTGGGAGGACAGGAGCGAGGAACAACGAGAAGGAGGGGCAAGAGTAAAGGGCGTGGCGCTGGGAGCAGGTGCAGGGTCCTGTTAGTGTCATCGTTGGCGTGTGCAGGGCCGGGGCTCTTGGCGCTTTTATTGAAGCCGGTGGCTCTGAAGGAGCGGAGAGGAAGTGTGGGCACGCTTTTGGAGGTGACTGGACACCTGGGAGCGGACGAGTCTGGTACTGAGGCCCCCTGGGGAGAGCTTGCCCACGTGTCACTTCTTTTTCTAGGAAGGCAGCACCGTTTCCCAGGTCACCTGAGGGGCTCAGTGGCCAGCTGCCACAGCTCTGTCACGCATGGCCTGCCCCGCGTCTGGGGGACTGAGCCCACGCAGGCCCCGCTTCCTGTCTGGTGGGAACTGTGGCTGGAGGCTGCCGTGGCCTCCGCAGTCCTCCAGTTCCTTCCCACAGAGCCGCCCGTCCCGTCCGAGTGCCTCACTTCTTCGTGGGGAGTGGCCACCCTCGMAGTCTGAGCTGATTCCATCTCTCTGGTGCCTCTGGAGAACAGGGCAGGGRAGGCCCAGGGGCCGAGGGCAGGGCTGAGGGTTCCTGGAGAGTGTCTGGGTCTGCTGGGCACGTCCTGTGCRTGGCCCCGAGAGTCCTGCTGCCCCGACAGGCTCGTGAGCTCAGTGCTCGCKGCTGCAGCTCTGGGCTGGTTGCGCTGGCACCCTGCCAACAGCAGCCGTGTTCAGGCCTGGCCTGGCGGGTGCAGCGCTGTGTCACAGTCTTCCTTCCTCTCTGGGTGGATTTGGCAATCAGAGATTGTCACGGGTGGCTGGCTTGTGACCAGCGGTTGTGTCTGGTGTGGTTTCTTTTCTGGTCAAGCACTGTAGGGGCAGGGCTGGGCGTCTTCGTTCCCGCCATGGCAGAATGCACTGCAGACRCTCAGGAACTGCTGCTGAGTGGGCGAGGGGACAGGTGGTGAARTTCCAGAGGCACAGAGTTGTTTAAAACTCACAAACCTGGTAGGCAGGTGCCCGCTCGCTGTGTGCAGCTCTGCCCTGGCCTGTCGCCTGGCAGCCTGTGGGCGGGAGCAGAGGCGTTGGGGCCGCACTCTGGACCGGGCTCCTGCTCTTCCTGTGCCTTCCCCCGTTGAGTGGAGGTGGCTCCGAGCTGGGGCGGGCAGACGGGGAATTCTGTGAGCTTCCAGGCGGGGCCTTGGCCCCGGTGCGCCCCCCCCGCCAGCCCTGGCACCCTCCTGGCATCTCAGCTCCTTCTTGTCACCCTGGCACTGGACAGTCCAGGTGGGGCTCTGCTTGTTCACCGTCTGACCTGCAAAGAAAGCTCCAGACCCGGGGATGGACGGGCTTGTAAGGGACCCTCCAKGTTCCTCTGCCGCCTCTGGGCCTGTGCTCTCACTTGGACGGCCTGGCCAGGGGCCTGGGGTTCTRTGGGGACAGCTGAGGGGCCTTCATGGGGCCACGTTGGTCAGAGGGACCACGCTTCACAGCCTGATCCTCAGCCTCAGAACTGGGACTCCCCCCAGGAGTAGCCTGGCCGGCGCTGACTGGAGTCCTCCTGTGGGGGACGTCTCTCCAGGGACACTTTATCCTTGGTGACTGGAGGCTCTGTCCAGTGCCAGGAGAGTGCTGTCCTGTGTGGAGGCCGCAGCAGCCGGGCGGTTGAGCAGGCATCTGGAGCAGGGGGAGCCCTGGGAGGAGGCCCTGGGGGTGAGCTTGGCCCACGGACYGGCTGCGTCTCTGAGTCCCCGGAGCCCCCCATCTTGAGGTGTTCTGAGGCCGGGGAGGTCACTTGGAGTTCGGGCATCAGCTTATGTCCGGGGCCTTGGGAGAGGCTCCTGGGGTCCAGGCGAGGTTCACTTAACCTTCTGCAGGTGTTCCTCATCCCAACTCGGCTGTGGCCCTCAACATGGCCCCTGCCAGGTGCCAGGTGCCAGGAGTGAGCAAAACCAGACCGGGCCATGGCGCTCAGGGGACTGTCTGGCGAGGACCCCAGAGACGCTCRCTGATTGCCTCACTGAAGTAGTGACAGGTGGAAGGGGGATAGGATTTCTCTGACAACTCTATCTGGAACTGGCCCTCAACTGAGGAGTGACACCAGTGCTGAAGTCGCTGGAGTTCCCTGTGGGGCGCCTTGCCAGCCTGTGCCAAGGCCCTGGGGTGGGGGGTGGTGGGCCTGTCTGAGCCTAAAGACTGGGGGATGGGCTCGGTAGGGACTGGGCTCTTCAGCCTGAGCWTGGAGGGCAGCTCTGGGAGGCAGAGTAGGGCTGCTGCGGGGTGGACAGGGGCGCTGTGCCCCTCCAGGTGTGGGGGAGCTACTGACTGACCCCCAGGCCTCCTCAGTCACAGGCTCTTCTCTCCTCAAACACCCACCCACAACGCCACCACCCTCTGCTGCCCCCTCCTGCCATCTGCAGCAGCCTGTCGCTGGGGCATAGGCCCTCCCTCAGGTTCTGCCCACCCAGGGCTGCCCTTGTGCTCAGGCTGAAGAGCCAGCTCCCTGCAGCGCCCGCCCCAGCTCGCCTCGGCCCCCTGCAGGGCTCCCTCCACCTGGCCTCTTCCTCGGGCTGTGCTGTGTCACTGTGCCCAGGCGTGGGGCCCAGGCAGCCTGCCTTCTTTGGAGGTGCTGCCATTGTGCTTGGGGCCTGGATTCCTTCCAGCTGCATTTGTAAAGTGACACGGCTGGGAGTGAGCCCAGACGTCTCTGAAGCGGTCCTACTTTCAGAGCGCGAGGCAGGTGCTGGTGCGAGGGTGGGGGCAGCAGGTGCTTGGCAGGGCTGGTCTGTGTCCATCCCGGGGAGACTCGTCCCCCTGCCCAGCCCTGTCCTCCCCTGCCGGAGGTTGCCAAGACTCTTGTCATAGGGCTGCTGTGYGGATGGAGCAGTTGTGTCTGAGCACAGCAGCACGGGGACCACACTCCCATTGTCTTGTGGGTTCTTGGCCTCAGTTTGCCTTTCCTGTCGAAAAGGACACCGCTGACCCTGGCCGGCTGGGCTGGTGAAAAGCTGCCGTGGCCACGGGTGTCTGACCTTGGTGTCTTCCTGGGCTGCAGGCTGTGGGCAGCAGAAGGACAGAGACACTGAGCCAGGCGAGCCCTGGCTGAGGTGGCCGCCACCCCTTCTGTCCCTGCAGAAAGAAGGGGAGTTCACGCTGCACGGCCGGGCCATCCTGGAGATGGAGCAGTACATCCGGGAGACGTACCCCGACRCCGTGAAGGTCTGCGACATCTGCCACGGCCTCCTCATCCAGSTACCAGCGGCTCCAGGCCCACCCCAGGCCCTCCTGTCCTCCTKGTGCCGGCTCTGGCACTGCTGGACGTCCTCCCTCAGGAGTGCCCGGAGCTGAGGGAGGCCGCCTCCTGGACAGGGCGTGGTGGCCGTCTCTGCTGCCCGTGGGAACACAGCTCCTCCCCYGTCCCTCGCTCTAGCCCAAGGGCTCCTGCTTAGGTTTCTTTCTCCAGAAAGGCCGTCACGATTCTTGGGTGACAGGTRCCTCTTGGCAGGCTTTTGGCAAATGCCTTTCTGTGTCAGCGTCGTTTTCTGAGTTGTCTGTTCCCGCTGTGTGCGCTGCAGGGCTGTCCCGCCATGGAGCCRGGCTGGACGTCCGTGCTTCCTGCCCTGTCCTCCAGCATCGTTCTCAGTGCAGTCTGTGTGCCGCCTGCTGTCTGTCCACGGCCCTGGGGACACTGCCAGAGCTCTGACTCCTGCAGTGTTGTCTCTCGGACAGCGCATTCTTGTGTTTTGGCTGTGGACGCACATCGCCAATTTGCAGAGCTGAGGGGACAGTCCTCCCCTGCGGGATCTGCGAGCAGGAAGCCCAAGTGCCGCAGGTGGCCTGCAGGGACCTCAGCCCTCTGCCTGGGTGTATGTGCTCAGAGTTCCCCCGTGGAACCCCGGCRGGACTGGGGTTATTTTCAGTATTCTTTTGGGGCCTGGACGCTCAGACTGGACAGCCTGCTAGCCATTTGCACACAGCCTCCTGAGGTTGGTGAGACTGGAGGTCTGGGGGGCCTGGGCTACATGGAGGCTGGCCTTCTGTTGCAGGGTCAGAGCTGTGAGACCTGTGGCATCAGGATGCACCTGCCTTGCGTGGCCAAGTATTTCCAGTCGATCTCTGAACCGCACTGTCCCCACTGTAATGACTACTGGCCCCATGAGATTCCAGGTTCGCAGCCCGGAGGGCTGGGCAGGCAGGGCTGACCTGGCGCTGTAGGCCTGGCACCAGGGGAGCCCTGGGAGGGCATGTGCAGGTCAGGGTGAGCGGTGGGCGGAGGCAGCAGGTGGAGGCCCCTGGGCACGCGTGTCTCTGGGCCAGGCCTGCTGCCTGCAGCCACCTCAGGCAGGGATGTGACAGCAGTGTCTGCAGCTCCCCGAGGCGGTTGTTCTGTGAACRGGGCTAATGCCAGCCTGCCCCTGGGCAGGGGGAGGGACGCAGGGAAGTGCTTTGGAGAAACAGGCAGCGTCCTTGGCGTGGGAAGCGCAGTGTAGCCGCCGCTGGTGGTGATCGCGGCCAGCGTTGCCGTTCACCGTGCCTTCTGGTCTCTTCTGTGCACAGAGGTCTTCAACCCTGAGAAGGAGAGGGAAGCTGGCGTCTCCAAGTCCAACAAAAAGTCCCTGCGGTCCAGGCAGCATTAGCTGGCACGTCCTGCTGGAGGTCCCTTCAAGGCYCGGGTCCATGGAGGGCATCAGCGTTTCCCCGGCTTCTCTGTTTTTTATGTTTGTTGGTGACAGGTTTGGAATAAAATTGTTCCCAGGAGTTGCTGCCGCCTTGCCTGCGGCTCGGCCTCGGTGCGTGGGTCCTGCGTCCTGGCCTGTCCTCTCTCAGAGCTCACCTGCCCTGGGTTTGCATTCCAGCTGGTGAGGATGGCCAGCTTCCCCGCCTGGTGGCGCACTGTCCAGGGCCACCCCTGCCTGGCAGCTCTGTCCTTGCTTGGGTGGCTTTGCCTTCAGCCCCCGGCTTTGGCCAGTCACCCCTGCCGGACTGGCCAGCCCCTGGTCTGCACTTGAGTCTTGGCAACCCTGTTCCCCAGTTTGGACCGTCCTCTGACCTGGGGTGTGAGGCCTGCGGCCTGGCTGGACTCGCTCTTCCCCTGGGGCTCCTTTGTCCCCTCTTGGTGACTGGTGTCTGYCCTTCCTGCGCTCTGAGTCGGCCCACATGCCCCCTCCTGCGTCCGGCCCCTCGCCCCMCCTCAGCAGCTGCTCTCCCCACCCGCTCTGCTGGAGCCTGTGCTCCTGTCCCTGCGCCAGACCAGCGTGGTCTCCCCGAATGACAGGAGGGCAGCTGGAGGCTCCAAGGTGGCCTCTGTWCCTTCCTCCCGGTGCCTGTCCCCGGCCTGCTGTTCAGGGTGTGCCTCCCGCCTTCTGGGTGCCCCTCTGCTCCCCTCCTTGCCTCCACCCTTGGGTCTCAGTTCTCCTCACCACCGTGATGCTTTGTCCCCTTCCCTGCGTTTCCTTGGTCACCACACTGGCCACGCTGCTGTGACTTCCTGTCCACCTGCCTCTTTCCTACCCCAGCAGGCCAGGACCCTTCAGASCRGCTCCAACTAGGAAGGGCTTGGCCACGGCAGCCCTTCAGGGGAGGCTTGGTCTGTGGCCTCACTCTGGTGGCCCAGGGGCCTCACCTGGCCCCTTATTTCTACTTCTGCTCTGTGAGCTGGCCTCGTGCTGAGGGCCTGCAAGGTGCTCTCCCAGAGCAGAACACGGCCACTTCATGGTGGCAAAGTGCGCGCCGTGCTCTGCCCTCCCACCTCAGTGCCCCAGTGCCAGGAGGGGGAGTGAGGGTCCCATTCAGTGGCTCTGCGCCTCTGCACATGTCCTGGCTCCCGTGTGGACACTGCTCAGCTGGGATGAGTTCCAGCCCTTGGGCGTGGGAAAATCCAGGCTCAACCTCGGGCCATGGGAGGGCGTCCTGCCAAGCCTGGGACAGAGTGGGAGGGGCTCCCTCAGCCAACGACAGGTGCTCTGCCAGACCAGGGGAGAGGACGAGGACATGGTGTACAGGTGGCCTCCCCCAAGGCAGAGGGAAGCTCCGCCTTCTCCCTCCACAGAGCAGGCACCTGGACCCAGTGGGCAAATGACATGTGGTGGGAGAGGCTCGCGCTTCAAGCGCCAAGTTCTGTCTCCTGGGCCCTGTGTCCCCTTCTTGTCAAGAGGGAGCTGGCCTTAGTGGTGCCTCAGGCAGCAGGGGGGGGGCCACTTAACCAGCAGGGGGAGAGGCTGGGGGAGACGGGGCTGGTCTAGAGAGAAAGGCCTTGGCCTGGCCCCTGGGGGGAGGGGGCCGAAGCCAGGGGGTCACAGCCTGCCACAGAGGCGGGGACGGCACCCAACATGCATTGGCAGGAGTTTGTCTGGTCACACGGTTCCAGTGGTCACATTCCTGTGACAAGGATCTCGAGCACCTTGGCCTGGGTCGCTGGCCGCCTGGTTCGCTGGCCCTCTGGTACCCTGCCTGCAGCCTCCCCCATGACGCATACCTGCCAATGTGCCCGTCCCCATCCACGAGGCACTCCCTGGCCAAGCCCTCAGTGACTCCCAGCTCCTGGCTGGCGTCCCAGGCCCCRCCCCACCCCGCCCTTCGCTGCCCTCTGCTCCCATGGCGCCCTGACTCACTCCAGGAGTCCCAGGAGTCATGGACAGGACCAGAGTGACTCACGGCTCTCCTGGTCCCCAGCCTCCCCCTCCGGGCCTTTGTGAGGTGCCGCACGATCAGGCTGTGGCGCCAGCTTGGCACTAGCACTTCCCCGCTGGGCCTTCCCAGCCCCTCCCGTCACCGTCACCGTCACCGGGGCTGGGCTTTCCTTCCCACTGTGGCTCCCTGCTGCGCCCACAGGCCTGGGTCTCTGCCCACTCCAGCTGCTTCCTGCTCCCTGTCAGCCACCAGTAAACCTGTCGCCCAGTGCCCGCCTCGTGCCGTGTTCTCCGCTGCCCTCTGCTCTGAGGTCTTCGTGGACCTTACCACCGACACTCTTGATCTCTGTGGCCACTGTCCCTGTGGTGGGCAAAACCTCCACTCACTCGTCGCTGTGTCAGTGTGGTCCTGGGCAGCCCGCCGGGATGGGTGATGGTGGGAGGCCAGTCCCTGTGCCTCATGCTCTGTGGCACTCTGCTTCCCGGCCAGCCTGGGGCCCTCTTTCTCAGAGCTGAAGCTCGCCCCACGTGACTCCAGCCACCCTGCGACCTCTGCCCCAGGCAGGGCTTCCTCTCCCAGCCCGCTGTCCACCATCCCCCATCCCCGCACATTTGCCCCGGCAGCCCCCACCTGTGGCATCCACTGGCCTCCGGCGCCCGACTTTGAGTCCCACTATTACAGGATGCTCATCCTAGCAGGGGCTCGGGACAGCCACAGGCCGTCCAGCCGCAATAGGGGACGCCGCAGGTTGGGCCACTGGTGGGAGCTGGAGTCCAGGCCTGGGTTCCTCGGCTAGGAGAGGGAGCCAGGTGGCCACACTGCTGCCACCAAGCAACCACTGTCCCTCGAAATGGTGGCTTTCCTGCCTCATTCCTCACGACCTTCAGTGGCCACGTTTGGTGTAAATTTCATACGAAAACATAAAGAACTTCCTAAGTAAGTCCCAGGTAGGGGACGAAGAGTCTCCTTGGGAGCAGCTCATCAGAGCTGTGCCAGTGTCACCTGAGGTCAGGTCGCATGCCTCCCCTCCCCCACGCCCACTCTGCCTGCCCGCATGACTGTGTGTCCCCCTCGCGGTTCCCACGGCCTCGGAGGCCTCTGCCTGCTCCCCTGTTTCTGGTTTCTAAAATGCATATTCTGATGGCCTCTGCTCAGAGCTCTGGGGCCCAGGACCTGCTGACAAAGTTCAGGTCCCTTAACCCTCACTGTCCGGTWTCCCATTTCTCCTAGTGGCCACCTGCGAGCTGGGCCAACCAGTCAGCGGACATCCTGTGGCTCGGGGTTGTGCCAGGGTGGGGTGGATCCCGGGCCTGGCACAGCTTCTTCCCTGGGTCTCCTGGTTAGCAGGAGCAGCTGCTGAGCCTGGCGTCTCAGTGCAGAAGGGTCAGGGTGTCCACCCTGCTAGGGCCACCCTCCCCATCGAAAGGGAAGAATGGCACCGAGGAGAGAGCCCGAGAGCCAGGCGGGTGGAGGCCTTGCGCCCGGCCTGTTCCCAGGCGCCCTGCTGGTCCATTTTTCTTTGTTTTTGCCTAAACCAGTTCCAGTTGGGTTCCATCCCGACCAGATGGGTTCCAGACCCCCTGGCGMGCGCCCGGCCTCGCCATCTACACTTACTGGACCTTTAATTGCTTTTGTGTTTATTTTTCAGTCCTGGGAACAGTGCACTTTCCCACAGAGCCGCGTCCCAGCCCTTTTTATTCTGAGACAGAATCTTGCTAATTTGCCCAGGCTGGTCCCGGACTCCTGATCCTCCTGCCTCAGCCTCGAGCTGCACCCCTCACCATTTCCATCACCCTGTCCTGGGCTCCCTGGTCTTGACCCACCCGTCATTCCCTCGGCACTCCCTGCCCTGGCCCTGCTTCCCGCCTTCCTCCCTCTGTGGGGCTCTCCTRTGGCTCCCCACCCAGCACTGGGGGCCACAGACATGCGGGGCTCCCACGCCACGCGCCCCCTGGTGGCTGGGACAGGCTGCTGCTCTTCCCTCCTGGGGCCTCCTACACTGCCCACTCGGGAATTTGGTTGAACAAATGATTTTTAAAATATATTTTTCTTGTTTATTTATATTATTGAAAAAAACTGAAATCACTGAGAAATGTTATAAAAGGTAAACACCCACAGCCTTCCTGCCGGCCCCGACGTGCCCACAGTTCACCTGGAGCCTTTCCCTTGGGACACGCGCACACGCACACTGTCATGCCCGCAGGCGCACGCCTAGACAGGTGTGCACGTGAGGTCGCTAGCTAAAAATGAAGAACGCTGCATCTCACTTAACATGACGCCTCTCTCCATGGCCTTAAAAATTCTAACTGTTCAGAACAAAAAGCAAAAATCAAAACAAAACCAAAAAAACCAAAAATGGGAAGAAAAAAAAAAAAGGACTAACAAAATTAAAAAGAAAAGAAAAACTGCCCTAGGTCCCAGGGGTGAGCAACACTCCTTCCCTGAAGGCCACTCTCTACCCCATGATGTCAGGCGTCTCACGTCACCGCAGGACGTACACCTCCATCCTCCTGCTGCTTCCTCAGGGTAGGTTCCCGGCGCCGGGTGGGCCTGAGTGTTGGAGGCGCTCGCTTTTGCTGACCTGCTAAGGCCCACCATGGGCGCTGTTCCCTCCCAGCACTGAGCGCGAGGTGCTGATTTAGTCTGTTTTAATTTGCCTGAGTATTAGTTGTATTTCTGTAAAATACTTTTTTTAGATGTATGGACCTTTATTTATTTGTATGTGGTGCCGAGAATCGAACCCAGTGCCTCACACGGGCTAGGCATGTGCTCCACCACTCAGTCACAACCAGCCCTGTATTTTTTTAACTCCCCCCCACATATTGCCACCAAAAACTGAATATGATTAACAWGTTGGCATAACACCTGGAGGTTTTTAGTTGAAGGAATGAGATGTTTTACATAAAGGTTCGTTGGCTTTTAAGTTTCTTCTTACGATTGGTTTGGAGCGGATCCTCCACCTCACKGTCACCTGGTGGACGGATGCTGTCCAGATCCAGACCCTGCTGCGAGACGCCCACCCTCTGCCCTTCTCCTGTCTGCAGTCGGAGGCAGGAAGTTGGCGGTGGAAGGAGTCGGGCATCGGCACACACAGGTGGGAGGCCCGGCTCTGCTGACCTGCTGGCCCGAGGGAGAGCAGGTTCTCCTAGGGGTGTGGCCCTGTCCTTCCCTGGGCACCTGTCCTGGGTGTGGCCCTGTCCTTCGCTGGGCACCTGTCCTGGCTGTGTGCTCAGGAACACCCTCCACTAGCACTGAACTGGCAGCAGTCTGTGCTTCAGTAAGGAGGACAGAAGTCTCCCACTGGGTTTAGGCTGCTATGYAGGTGACAAGGACCCTCCCCTGTACCCAGGGCCTCGCCCACCTCTCCAGAGCCTGCAGGCTGTGGTGCTCCCCAGGCCTGGCCATGATGAAGCCCACATCACAGCTGAGTRCCAGAAGCTCTGGACACGGTATGAGCCTCTGCGGCCTCTGGAGGAGGCCAGCGCCACTCTGTGTTCTAGAGGGRTGGGCACCGGGGCCAAGTGTCTTGGCCACCACGCAGGTGCAGCAGTGGGACCAGCTGGGACCCTACAGCCACGCTCACCCCCASGCTTTCCACCGGACACACTGCCTGCCCTTTCCCAGACGTGTCCAGCTTTCCAACATGGGCAGCTCCGTGTGGGTGGACAGCCCAGAATGTCCTCCTGGGCTCCTCCCGCCTCCTGCTGCCACAGTGGGCCCGGGGCACAGCCGCTCATCCCAGGTTCCCGCAGCTGGGCGCCCTCTGCTCGTCCAGAGCCCKGGGCTGGAACCACACCAGGCCCAGGCCCGGGAGCGAGCGAGCGGTCAGCGGACGCCGAGTGGCTCCTGGCTACGACCACCAGAAGCTGACGGAGAAGCTCAGGTCCAGGGCCCGCACGTAGTGCCAGTGTTTGGCGGGGATGAAGAGCATCTCTCCAGGGGACAGGGTGCAGGCCAGGAAGGGCGCCTCGGCAAACCGGGGGAACCTCTCCAGGTCGGGATCCTCCACGTCCACCTGAAGAAAGCAAGAGATGTCATTCTGCTGGAGTCTGGGGACCGCAGCAGGGACCGCCACATCACCCCGGTGCCCGCGCGCCCACCTGGCTGGTGTTGTGAAGAAGGTGCGTTTCGTGTGGGTACAAAGCCGCCGAGTCCCGTGGGGAGTAGAGCCGGATGTACTTCCTCCCCATCACCTGGAAGAGACCCAGGGCTGCTGGATGGCCTCACAGCGCTGCAGGCCCCTTGGTCCCTGTCCCCTGACCCTCCCGCACTGCTCCCTGGGCCTGCACTGCCCCTCCTGACCCGCACCTGCTTAGGTGCCCAGAGGCCAAGAGCTGTTGTCCTCGGAGCATACGGTGGGTGGCAGCTCGTGGCTGTGGCTCAAGCCTGGCTGCTGCTCACAGCGCGTCACCTTGGCTAGCCCACACAGGCCTCAGGGGTTATTCTGCGCCCCCGATTTCCAGGTGAGGAAAATGAAGCACTGAGAGATTAAACCAACAGCCCAAGGTCACAAAGCCACCTGCCTGGGGATGGCGCTGGTGGCTGCTGGGCAGGCTGTCCACCTCCCCTGGGCAATGCCAACCTTCCCACCCATTCAGCCAGTCAGAGCCAGGGGGCTTCCTGGGCAGCACCGTGTGCCCCTCCCCTCGCAGGACCTCCCAGGACCAGCCCCTCCACCAAGGCTCCAGGTGGAGGCCATCCTCCCTGGAGGGGACCCTCYTCAGGCCTGCGGCTCTCGACCCTTTCAGGGTCCCTACAACTCTTTGAGGATCTGGAGTTTGAAGGTGGACCCTGAGGTCAGCCCCATGCCTGGGCCAGCAGGAGGTAGAGCCACTGGTCTGGTGGCAGCTCCTACCTGCACCAGGAAGTTCTGCTGCGGGTCTTGGTGCAGTGGGGACACGGTTCCTTGGGGACCGAACCAGGCGTTGATGGTGATCTCATCCTCCTCCCCGTCGCCCAGGCAGCAGTAATCAGGGATGCCGATGTCCTGTTTCAGCTCCGGGATCTGCGGGTGTCAGAGCAGAGATGGGGGGTCGAGGAGAGGCCGGCACCTACAGCCGGAAGTGACTGACAGGTGGGCACACGCCACTCCTAGCTAGGGCCATATTTTAAAGGAAAAGAATTTTAAAACAATGAAAAAACAAATATGTAATCAGCAGATAATAGTTGTAGTCTTATTTTCATATCTTTTGCCATGWCTATGGATTTCTTATTTATTTCTTTTTTAAAAACCTGATGTTAATGCTTTATACTAAAAACAAAAAAACACACAACAGCTTGAAATACTCTAGCATTAAAGTAAAAAAAAAAAAGGAAAACAAAAAGAAAATAGTTTTAGGAAATCCAGAGAGGAYTTCCTAAAATTCACTACTGGTAAACAAATCCCTATTGGCTAGGTGYGGTGGTGCCTGCCTGTAATCTCAGCTATTCAGGAGGCTGAGGCAAGAGGATTACAAATTTAAGGCCAGCCTCAGCAACTTGGTGAGACCCTTTCTTAAAATAAAAAGGGCTGGGGATGCAGCTCATTAGTAAAGTACCTCAAACAAACAAAAACCCTATGTTACATTTTATAAATTAACAGCCCTAAAGACTGAAGCGCCCGAGCCCCTCCCTGCTGGCTGAGGTGGGAGGTCAGGACACGGTGCAGAAGACATGAAGACCTCAGTACATATGTCACACAAATAAACCAAAAGCCAGAAGCAGATGGACACAGACATGACAGAGGGCTTCCGTCTCAGCAAATAAATCCAAGTGAAACCAAGAATGAGTCATCGTTCCTCGTTAATCAAATAAGAAAGATTGAAAGCAGGATAACCCAGCCGTGGCGGGACATGGTGTCTGGCGTGTGGGCAGGGCGCGGGCACMGAGTGGAAGGAGTGGTAAACCTGTGTGACGGGGACAGGCTCGTGATCAGGGCTAAGAGCGTCTGCATCTGACCAGTGGGAGTAGCTTGGTGCCCGGCCCCTCGTGGCCAGCGGGACCTGGAGGAGCCTGTGATGGGAGGGCTTCCAGGTGGACGGGGCCACACTGTCAGTGCACCTGCCTGGTGGCCCCAGGACAGGCAGTGCTGAACATGTCCCAGGCAGAGCTGGCAAAGGCCACACGCTGCTGTCTCTGTGGTGCTTCCTCATGAACCCTGTCCCCCCCAGTCCCTGCGCCCTCTGGGACAGCGARGCGCCCCCAGCAGAGGCCTGGCCTCCGGGGAAACGGGCCTGGGGTGAGCACAGCGCCRTCGGGGTGGACCTCCCAGAGCCCCAGAGGACTGTCACCAGCACACGGGGCCACCTCGCAGGCCCAGGGTCTCAGAGTGAAAAGCCACTTGCTCAGAGGCAACCGCAGCCTGACCAGCCCTCAGCAGGCACTGGGCCAGCTCAGGGCAGGGCCCAAGGGAGAGGCCAGCCGTCCCTGGAGGCTCCCACCCCAGACCCCATGGGAGCTGCTGGTATTTTTCCYGCTTGAGAGGAATGAAGCAGGGCCGGGCCTCGGCCTCTCCAGGGAGCAAGGCGTCACCTGCCACTTCGCCAGCAGCACCTGGGAAGGCGGGAATGGCCCCCTGCAGGGAGCTGGGCCCAGACGCTGCCCTCTGTCCTGTAAGGGCCCATCTCCCGGGGCCAGCGTAGAGACGAGGAGTAGTGGTGTCCCATGCTTTGAGCTAAGACCCAGATTCATGGACTGAGGCCCCCCAGTGCCACAGGGGGGTCTCGGGCCATTTGCAGGATTCTCAAATGCTTCCAGTAACCTCAGGCTCCCTGTCACATCACACTGCTGCTTCTGCCTGGGGTGCCATCTGCCCTGACCCTGTGGACACTCAGCAGAACTGATTGGTTCCTGATGACATCATCAGGATTTCTGAGAGGTGATTGGTTGAACCCATCCTGCAATCCGAATCACTGACCAAAGACTCGGAGACCCCTCGAGAACCAAGCAGTTGGAGACAGGCCTGCAGCGGGGGCCAAGCTTAGAAACCAGTCCCTGCGAGGAAACCAGTGAAAGGTCCTGAGGCAGGAACCTGGGGGGCGCTGGAGGCCGAGAGGTTCCAGAACAGTCTGCGCCACTCTGCTTGCCCCGGGCCTGTGCTGCTGGACTGCCAGACACCTCTCAGCTGGCTACTGCTGGYGCTGGGCCCCGCTGCCCCCACGTGGGGGGCACCTGTCACTGGGAACGTCCTGCCCTCCTCTGGTCTTCAGCAAGTCTGCGCTCAGGGTCTACCTGGCCTGTCAGGGCTGGACCCAGAAGCAGCAGGCCAGGTGCGGGCAGATGGCCACAATCAGACACCTGAGGTGGGGACGGATGAAGGCGGCAACTCGCCCCCTCCTGGTGGGCTCAGGTCCCGTGGCCTTGTGGCCTCGCTGGTCCTTTGGGATGTGTTCCTCGGCTCTGGCCGCACCTGGACTTGTGACAGCGTCCCACCCCCGGGGACTGCCAGTGGCTTCCCTCTCCCCTTGCTGCAAGCTGGAATCCCTCCTCACTGGGGTCCTGGGACTCAGGCCTGCGGCCTCACTGCCTCCTGCTGGCCCTGGTGAGGAGGGGCAAGAAGCGGCACGAGTGGGCAGCAGTGAGCCAGCAGGCTTCCCTGGGGGGACGGGGAGAGGGTGAAGGACAAGAGCGCAGCCTCACTCACCTGGTCAAAGAGCTGGTGCTGCGCGAGGTACCCGATGTCACTCGCCTGGGCAGACATGGAGGAAGAGAAAGCACTGTAAGCACGAGCCTGGCGGCTTCTTCCAGAGGCTGCCGTTGCTTCTAGAAGGCTCCGCCCCGCCCCACGAGGCTCCGCCCTGCCCCACGAGGCTCCGCCCCGCCTGAGCGCCTGGTCCCCAGGGCGGCTGCTGGTGGGTAAATGGAGGCAACCATGTATATAACGATTTTTGTTTTTCTGTTTAAAAAATCATTTTAAAAAACTGATAAATACACATAATTTCCTATTTTAATCTCTTTAAGGCCCAGGGCCTGGTGTTCAGCACACCCACATGGCTGCACAGCCATGGCCACCACCCACCTCTGAACCTTCTCCACCCTGCCAGGTRGAACCGCATCCAGGAAACACTGGAGGAGTCACTTTGACTTCTTTTTTTTTTTTTTGTTCTGGGATAGAACTCAGGGGCACTAGACCACGCGCGGAGCCCCATCCCCAGCCCTACTAGCCCTACTGTGTGTTTTAGAGTCAGGGTCTYGCTGAGTTGCCTAGTGCCTCATTAAATTGCTGAGGCTGGCTTTGAACTCGTGATCCTCCTGCCTCAGCCTCCTGACCTTGACGTTTCCTTTTYACAAGTTTTTTGGTCTGCTGATGAGAAGCTGGGGCCCCCACCTGAATCTCTCCCAGGTCAATACGCAGGCAACTGCTCCTGCTCTTAAGGACTCCACGATGTTCTATAAACAGGATTTGAGGTCATGAATTCGGGGACATCCAGGGTGTTTTGCTACAGCATTTCGACTAACAGCCCCAAACACTGTGCTTATGTTTATGGGACATGCGTTTCCAAAACTACCGTGAGTCACGCGTACGTGTATTTAAATTTTCACACTTCTGCCAGGTACTTTCCGGAGTTAGACCCTTCCTGCTCCTGTCGCCCTCCAGTCGGCCCACGCTGGGGGCATCACACTGTGACAGTTTTGCCAATGAGCTGGAGATGAGGGCTTCACAGCCTGGGCCCCCAGGGCTCGGGTTCTGCTCAGATGCCAAGCTCTCCAGGGGTCCCACGGCAGGGGAGGGACGGGACTCAGGGCACCTCTCACCCCCCTGCAGGCAGGGCGGAGCCGGCGGGCGCTGGCAGCTGAGGCCAGGCAGTGCCGCAGCAGGGAGGCCCCTCTCCAGGAGGCCCAGGGAGCCTCGTCCTTCCGTCCTTCCACCCTCTGCTGCATCTGTCCTCTCCACAACAAGCCAGACCCAGGMTGAGCACACACAGCAGCCCTGACGCCATCTCCATCCTGGACAGCGGGTCAGGAGGACACCGGGTGAGTGCTGGCCACGCACTGTGCTCTAATCCCCACGGGGACACGGGCATCGCCACCCACAGCCCTGAGTCACCCACCACACTAAAGCCGAGCTTCCCAAAGTCGGGCCCTGAGGACAGGCGAGGCCCAGGACACCGCCAAGGCCCAGGCCAGCGAGGGGCAGCCTGTCTAACCCTGCGCCGGTGCTGCCTCTGCCCTGGGCCTAGCCACGGCCTTCCCGGCCAGGCTGACGCTGAAACACAGATGGCCACGGTGTCACGGGACTCTTCTAGATGCTCCCTCCCAGGCCTCAGGGATAGCAGGAGGCGGGCTGCCGAGGCAGTCGAGCCCCCGAGTGCCCACAGAGGAGGCTGGGCCCCGGTTGAGGAGATGGGGCAGGAAGGGCACCGAGGAGGGGCGCTGGGGTCCCCCAGGAGTTCACAGTGAGCAGCGGACATGGACAGCGGGGACGGGGACGGGCCACCACAGGTCTGCAGACTTCTCTGAGAGGATCCACGATCCAGTCTGCTCGGAGGTAGAGGCTGGGCCCGGGCTGCTGGGGACGGGGCGGGTGGCACGTGAAGCACAGCCCGAGGCCCACAGCCCACAGCTGTCCCCTCACTCTAAGGGTCTCGGCCCTGATCTCRGCCACATGAGGCCACAGTCACACTCTCTGCCACCCACGGGCCTCACTGCCACGAATCTCTAGTGGGAACTGGGGACAGCTGGCTGGGAAAGCTGACTGGTCCCTGTGCGAAACGTCACCTGAGGGATTCACTGCGGGAGCCTCAACTCCCCTCCTAGTGCAGGACGGGGATGGAAGGGACAACCCACAGGAATTCGCATGTGAACGAGGAGGGGACCCGGCCCGGAGCCACCAGTGGGCGGAAGGCGAACCCAACGTGGCTCACACGATGGGACTCCCAGCCGCTCACAGGGACCACGGCTGGGAAYGGCACGGCCCGAGGGCCTTGAGGAGTGAAGGAGAGGGACAGAGGCCACCCCAGCGGCCATGCGCTGTGCCATCCCTTGGTGTGAAGTGCAGAGAATGGACGCGTGCACAGGGACAGGGAGCTGACTGGAGGTCACGGGGGTGGGGGAAGGGAGACGGGAAAGGACACCGATGTGCAGGGGCGTCCCCAGGGCGGGAGACTTCTGGAAGGGGACTGGGGGAGTGGGGGGGGCACCATCACGCACCTCCTCAAAACCCCCAGGGCACCAGCAGGACAAAGCGGCCTGGAAAGAGGAGCCCTGGTGCAGCCACCCGCCTGCCCGCCCGCCCACTCTGGCCAGCCGCCGCCACAGCCCAGGGACGCTCCTCCCACCACTGCGCCCCAGGGAGAGCCCTGCACACCTCGCTCACGACGTGCTTGCTGATGAAGTCCCCCACGGTCATGAGCCTCTGGGACCATTCCTCGTCTGTGTACCGGGAGCCGACTTCCACGGGCACCGTCCGGCAGCCAGCCACCTCCTGGATGTATTCCAAACTGTCAGAGACACAAGCATCGTCCTCGTCAGGGTCGCTACCGCCCGCTGGGCATGGAGAAGAGCGAGCTTCACCTGTGGTTTCCTKTAGTTCCCACAAAACCTCATGAGGCAGAGACTACTCAGGCACAGAGAGGCGAGGTTACTTGCCCAAGGTCACACAGCCAATGCACAGAGCCGGGTCTGCTGGGCTGCTCCGCTCCCTGTGGGCTGTGGTCCCTCTGAATCTCCCTCTGCTCATCTCGTCACTGAGCTAACAAATGGTGGGCAGTATGAGGTGCTGAGGGGGTGAGGTGCCCGGCTCTGAACTCTGGTGGCCTGAGATGGAGTCCGGGCCTCACCAGCGATAGACCAGGGGACCTTTGGCAAGTTGCCCAGCCTCTCTGAGTCCCTGTGCCCGTGCAAAGTGGAGGTGACAACAGTGCCTGACCCACAGGGAATGAGACGAGGCAAAACACACCACATGCCTGACACAGGGACAGAGGGACTGCACGAGGGAGGCCTGCTGTGCGACGGCTCCGGCAGCCCAGCGCYCCCACAGGCCCAGAAACAACAGAGACAAGTGACCACGGACTGGAATCATAAAAAAATTTTTTTTTCTCCTTTAGGTTGATTTTCTCGGCTATTTTGTCACAGTGACGRAAAGCTGCYCCAATCMGCTTCCCTTGAGCTACATAGTTGGACCTGTRCACCACAGGGGATTGGTTCCAGRTCCCCTGCAGATGCCAAAAATCCAGTGATGCTCAAGTTCCTTATTTAAAAAACAAAAACAGTGTAATCCCAGCRGTTTGGGAGGCTGAGGCAGGAGGATGGAAAGTTCAAAGCCAGCCTCAGCAAAAGGGAGAGTGAGACCCTGTCTCTAAATAAAATACAAACCAGAGCTGGGGTGTGGCTCAGTGGTCAAGTGCCCCTGAGTTCAATCCCTGGCCCCCCAAAAAACAAAACAACAACCCAGCATACACCTGCCCGCGTAAGTCACTTCCTCACTACTCAAGACAYGGCATGCGCTGTAAAACCTGTCGGTAGTTGTCCCACTGCCTGGCTTGGGGAACAGTGACAAGAAAATAAGTCTGTGTGTGATCGGCACAGAGGTGACACRGTAGCTCTGCATCCAGTCCTGACCCGTGGTTGGTGGACACCCGCGGCCATGAAGGCCCACTGYGCCACCTCATTCCCAGGGTAGGCCCAGCCAGGGCGCGTGGTCACTGCCCAGCGCCTGAGTCTGGGGAGCGGCTGTCTCTGGGCTCTTCTGGGCTGGGCCTYGGGGCCCTGAGGAGGCTGCGGGACTCCTGGACCCTGCGGGAGGACAGAGTGGACCTATCTGGAGACCGCCACCCAGACCCTGTGGAACTCGGCTCAGGGCAGAGCGAGCTGTCACAGGGCCGTGGCCCGGGGCTGCTAGTGAGTGTCTGTGGGGACTCTGGTGACGTGTGGGTGGCTGGAGGAGTGACTCAGGGAGGCCTGGGGACACTGGGTGGAGGGAGGGGAGTCCCCGTGGTGCCGCGGTGACCACCCACCTCCACTTCTTCATGCACGGCCAGTGGTCAGCCACGCCTTCCAGGACCACCGGCCTCTCGGGAACCAAGAACTGCTCYCGGAAGTGCTGCAGGGACGGGCGGCGYAGCCGGGGCACTGCCCTCTCGGGCTCCAGCTCTGGAGTGGGGACGCGGTGGCGCCTGGCTCTCTGCTCAAAGTCAGAACACAAGGCACCAGCTCAGGCGGCGGCCGGGGACCCACACCGTGGCAGCGGCTGAGGTGGCCTTGGTGACACCACAGCCACACAGCCCTGATCGCTGCTGCTGCTGTGGTCACCAGGAGACCCGGCGCCACGGTCCCCCGCATCTCAGGACAAACGTCTGTGGACTCGCAGGCAGTGCTGCCTGCATGGACGCCACCTCAACCACCGTGTCCCCTCCTCACAGCCACCCCTGGGAACCGCATGGTGACRGCATGATGAAGAGTCCCCTGTCACCAGCACTGGTCACTAGCGTGTGGCCACGCAGCTTCCCTTGGCCTCTCCCACCTGGGGACCCGACAGGAGTGCTGGGTCCCTGGGCTCTGTCCACACGTGCTGGGCAAGGTCACAGTGCCCAGACCCGGGACCAGCCGGGGCACACTCGGCTCCCGGCTCCTTCCGCCACACACCGCCCCCCACCCAGGACGACCTTGGGCAAGGCCACCTCCACGTTCTCGTGGGACACGAGGTGGGCTGGGGGCTGCACCCGGGGTCAAGGGGACAGACACTGGTTCCTGATCTGTGCGCCTGTCCTGCTGTCTTGAGGCCGGGTGCCATGCCCGGCCCTTGGCCCCTGGAACCCTTGGGGACACTGGGACCTGCGTGGCCTTGCGGCTGAGGAAGGGCCCGCGGCTGCCTGGCTGCTGTGCCGACCGCGTCTCTCTCCTCTTTAACCAGAGGCGGAGTCGACCCCTTCCTGGAGCGTGGTCCCACGGCTTCGGTCCTGCCGTCAGCAGCGTCCCTGGCTGGAGTCCCRCAGGCTCCCAGGCCCTGCTGACCTAACTTGGCAGGTGACAGGGACGGTCCCTCTCTCTTCCCAGTGGGATCTCCTTTTCGTTGGGCTGTGTGACAAGGACATCCATTCACTTACCTGGTGTAAAACCCTGCTCACGTGGGGAGTGTCCAGGCCACAGGGCCAGCCACGAGGCCACTGCTGGTGCCTGACAAGCTGGCCTTTCCCTTCTGGGGCTCAGGACCCTAAGTGCCCCTTCACAACCAGGAGGGGACGGAGGCTGGGAGCGGAGCCGTCCTGGCTCACCCAAGGTGGCCCGGGGTCTGGGACGGGCTGGGCTCTGACGCCTGCTGCGTCAACTCAACCGCGTGGGCCTGGGGGACGTCGCCCAGCCCCCCTCGGCCCCCTCAGCTGCTTCTCCGACCACARGGTCCCCACCCCGGCTCCACGGGGCGCTGCTCTCGCAGAAATGGGAAAAAGAGGGTTTTTGACAAAACAAACCCGGGGYTCGTTCCCATCAGCCGAGAGGCTACTGTCAGGGCGCCCAGGTCCCCGTGGGGGGGGCCCTCACCCAGGGGCAGAAGCGGACAGGGAGAGCGGGGCAGGGCGGACGTCCCTGTACCTTGGCTCCGGGCGGCTCMGGGCCGGGGCGGGCGGGCCTCTTTCCAGAGCCGAGGTGCGCCTGGAGGACCGTGGCAGCCCTAAGGAGGACGTCCCCCAGGATGGCCGCCCCCATCAGCAGGCCCATGTCGCACACCCGCAGAGCCTCAGTGACCACGGTGGCCTCGCGGGGCGCCCGGCACAGGCACAGGGCCTTCAGGAGGCAGCCGAAGGCGTAGACCCGCCGCCAGTCCTTGTGCACGTCCTGCCAGGGCCCCGTGTTGAGCCTCTCCCAGGCGACGTCCAGGAGCGCCTCGCTGTCCTGCAGGCACTCGGCCAGCCGGTCCCCGTAGAAGTGCTCGGTGGCCTGCCGCAGCAGCAGCACCACGCTCCTGTCCACCGTGTCCCCGAGCTCCAGCCTCAGCTCCTCCCGGGTGCCCGGCAGCAGAGCCCTGAGGGCTTCCCAGAGCGCACCAGCTGGCACCCCGGGGCCTCCGTGACTCTGGGTGCCTTCTGTCATCTGGGCCATCCAGCGGGGTCAGATCAGCGCCTGACAGGGACAAACAAGCGTTAGGGACCAGGAGGGGCCTGGMCGCAGCCCACAGGGGCCCTCTTCAGAGCGGCCTTCTCTGCAGCCATGGCCCTGCAGCCCCCGTCCAGGTCTGCGATTTCCAGGGCCCAGTACACAGTCAGCACTGCATAAGTGCATGCTCGGGGAGGGAGGGTGCGGCGGGGCCTGGATCCCCAGCCCCCCCCCAAACCCCCACCCACCTCAGGCCCACCTCCACGACCCCTGTTAGGCCTGCAGGGCCCTCCAGGTCCCCGGTCCCCACTGCCCTTGCGCTTGCTTACACCCCCGCCACCGCCAGGCCTTGAGCCCCCCGGGCGCTAGCACAAGACCCCCCGGGACTGCAGTCCTCCCTCAGTTCATGTGCGTGATTGGCACGTGTCCACCTCCCAGAAGTCCCCTGCTGGCAGCGTGGTCCCTGCGTGTCGATGCTCAGGTGGTGGACCTTTAAGAGGCGGGGCTCCGTGGGAGGTGACAAGGTCACTGGGGACTCCCATTGCAAGGTGGGCCCATCACCACGGGGCAGGTTGTTAAGTGAGGTCCCCTGCGTTTGGCCCCTTGTACCTGCTTCCCCTCCACTTGTCCACCATGCTGTGATGCAGCCAGGGACCCTCACCAGATGCTGGCACCATGTTGTTTGGACACAGAGTCACCAGCATCATGAGCCAAATGAAAACTTTTTTCTTCATACATTCCCTGGTGTCAGGTATTCTGTTACAGCAACACAAAACAGAACGAGACGCATCCCTCATCTCATTTGAGCTAAGTGACAGGGGCCATGATGCTCTTTGCAGAGAATGTTTTAGGCTAGGGGTGCCATGCACTGTTGCTGCTCCTCTGCACAGCAGCAYATAAATGGCCATACACCATTTATGAACCAATAGGCATCACTGTGTTCCAATAAAACTTTATTTGCAAAAGCAGATGGTGGGCTAGACTTGGCTTGCCAACCCCTCCTGTATGCTGCAAAGTCCTTCATCTTCTTCAGGCACAGAGTTAGGCTGTGTCTCCCAGGCTYACTTGCAATTAGTTGTCACCTGCTGTGTGCTGGTGACTGTGAATGCAGGGATGTGTGCCGCTCCCAGGCCTGGCCCAGAAACAGGTCCCACAGGATCCCACACACTTTACCTGTCCTCTGGCTGCAAGTGAAGTTCCCTGAGAGAGCCACAGGATGGCAGGAAATTGGCACTTTAAGAAAAGAAGCCTGGGAAGGCCACCCAGCCAGGAACAGACAGGCTGGAATGGTTCGTGAGCAAAAAATGAACTTGTTTAGGCACAAAGGTGCTGGTGATGCTTGTTACAACAGCAACCCTGCCCTGATACAGGCTTATCATTTCTGAAAATGGCCCYCTGCAGATGTCCACACCCACCTCCCTAGAACCCACAATGGCCTGTAGGTGATTAAGAATAATGACCTGGAGATGGGGCAACTGTTCTGGGTTATTTGGATGAGGCCATCCCAATACCTGAGGCCTTAAGGAATGGTTTCTTTAACYGTGATTTTGGAAACATGCTCAGGGTCTCTACAGGGGTACCTAGCAGCACTGGCTGTGGACACAGGAAGAGGCCACTCCCCACAGGAACGTGAGCAACTTTCAGATGCTGGGAAAATCAAAGAAATGGATTGTCCCCTGGGGCCTGCAGAAGGGAGGTCCTGCTGAGTCCTTGACCTTAGCCCAGTGARACCCACGGCACACTTCTAACCCCCAGGTGTGACAGGTGATGAATCTTGTGGTGATCTGCCCAGCAGTCGTGGAGAGTACGACTCGTTTTAACCAGCAGGACTGGGTGAAGCTGGGGCACCACTTCCGTGATGAGTTCCATGAGACTGAGGGGCACCCTGTCAGCAGACCGTCTGCCCACCRGCTTGCACACGTTGATGACACAAGAGGCCACGATGCAGGGGCCTGGGTGGCCACAACTGGGGGAACCTGTGGTCAACAGTGAGGCGCTGAGGCCTCTGCCCAGCAGCCCTGCAGGAACGGCACAGACTGGGAGCTGGACCCCTGTCCAGTTGAGCCTTTGGGTGGGAACTGGCCTTGACTGACAGATGACCATGGCTCTGCCAGCGCTCCCGTGCAGAGGACCTCGCTGACCATGCCACACTCCCGACCCACACACTGAGGTCCCGATGGTTGCTGTTTCAGGCCACCCAGTTATGACTTGCTGCGCAGCGACAGAGCTGGTCCAGATCTCAGGGACACCTGGTCTTCGTGTTCTGTCGCGGTGACTGAACACACGGTGGGGCATTTAGAACTAGGGGTGCATTTAGCTCATGGCTTCGGTGGTTAGAAGGTCCAGGAGCAGGGCCCAGCACCTGCAGAGGGCTGTCCTGCCGCTGGAGACTTCCTCCACAYTGGAGAAGGACAAGGCCACCAGCCACAGCCAACTGGCTTTTGTAGCAAACCCGCCCTGGAGGTGACTGCCCGCTCCCTCCCTGACCCGTTCACCCCAGGGTCCACGAGTGGGTCCCTCTGTCCCCGAGTGCAGAGCTTCTGTGCGCCAGCCTCCAKGAGAGGCCCTCACCTCCACACCGCGTCTCCAACACGTGGACTTTCAGAGACATTTTYTTCCCTGTGGTGCTGGGGACAGAACCCAGGGCCTTGTGCACCCGGGGAGCGCTCGCCCAMGGCGCTGCGGCACCCAGCCCAGCCACACCCCTCCGCAGCAGCCCGGGCCTCATGGGCCACTCACAGAAGCTCGGGAAGGCATGGCCCCCTTCAGCCCACACGTGCCTGGTGCACCCAGCAGCCCACGGGGAGCAAGGGCAGTGAGGGCGCTGCAGAGGTCCCAGAAGGTGCCCCCCCCCCCGCTCCTCCTCAGCTCGCTCCCCAGCCCCAGCTCAGGAGCAGCCCCCGCGGGCAGGGTTCTGAGAGCAGCCACGTCCTCGTTCAGCCTCACTGTGACCCCCTCACCGTGACCCCTCACCGTGACCCCAGCTGATGACACACACAAGGCCAGGGACTCGGAGCAGTCGCTGAAGCCCTGGGGAGAATGATCGTCCCCACGTCCCAGATCAGCTGAGGCGGAGGAGGACCACAGGGGCCGCAGAGACTCCACACAGGTGGCACGTCCCCTGGACCCGCGACCTGGCGGATGAGGAAACCGAGTCGTGGAATCTGAGGCGCGGGGGTCAGCTGCACACAGGGCACCCGCTCCTCACCGCAAGGCCTCCGTGCTCTGCAGTCCCTCCTCCTGTCCCAGTCACAGGTGGCGTCAGGTTGCTCTGAGCCCTTCCCTGGGGTCTAGCTCCCCGTGCTGCGGGAGATGGAGAGGCCATGCTCACGTCCCCACCCCGTCACCTAGCTGAGGGAACTAAAGCCAGCAAGAAGCGACCTGGCACAGCCTGGCCAGCAGTGCGTGGAACCCGTCGGCACAGCCCACAGCTCTGTGGTGACACCCGCAGAGCGGCAGTGAGGTCTGAGGTCCCAGACTAGGAGTGGCAGTGACGGCCCACAGCAGTCCTCGGCCTCAGAGGGGTGTCAGCGTCGGGGCACCTGCATCAGGGCCTGTCACCATCCTGGGCTCGCAGTGGACGGGCCTCCAGCTGGCGTGGCTGGATGGGGGACTTGGGGAGCCCCGCTGGCCTGGCCAAGCCGCCAGGATGGGTCTTACTGCCAGGCCCCTAGGAAGTTCCTGGGGGTCTAGTGCTGGCCCCATTCAGCTTTCTTGGGGAGAGTCACACCCAAACCTCCAATGTGGTGTCCCCTGGCAGGACAAGGGGACCCACCAGCTGGCCTCCCCAGGGCCTCCTGGCTCACGGCCTGAGTGCCCCACACAAGTCTCACCTTGGGCCCAAGAGCCCAGAGGCCTCACCCCCAGCTTCTCCTACGCGTCTGTGAGAAGGTCCCCAGGAGACCCCGCCTGACTACAAAATCGGCCCCCACTGGGGACGTCCCTGGCAGCTCTGTGAGCTGCTCTGCAGAGCCACCGTGAATGGTCCCCRGAGGGTTTCCCATGGGCTAGGACGAGTCCCCTGGGCGCAGACTAGGGGCTTTATATACTGGTGTCACGGTGGCTTTCTGCAATGGCCCCTTACAGGGTCACATGGGCCTTAYAAAGCCAGCTTCCCAGGGGCCCGTGTGTCTTCTCACTGGTCCTCCCCAGGTGTCCTGTGCCCTTTGCCTCTGGGAGGACCTTGCAGACCACATGAACTGCCCTCTGGGACAGGGGCCCYGAGCTGGCCAYACAGGTCTCCTCTGGACCAAGTAARACAGTCTTTCTCTTGTAAATGTGGAGACGCATAGGGGGTGTCTGCCAGCGGTCAGCCCTGATGGGCATGAGCCCAGAGCTCCAGGCCAGGTGAGTCGGTTTCAAAATGGCTTTCAGAGCACCTCTGTGGCTACCCGGAATGGTCTCCCAACAGGCCTCACAGCTGACGGAACCCTTGACCCCCAGCCAGGGCTGTATGGTGGCAGCACGAGGAGACGGTCACAGTCAAGTGGCACGCTGCACCTGCCAGTCTGCTCCCAGGGCCTTCCCACAACCTCTCACACTGCCACATCAAGAGGGGCCACAGCCTGGTAGGTGGAACTCCTCCGAAGTGGCCTTGTGACCTGTTTTTAAAACTAGCCTCCTGATAGATTGAGGCTTGAGGACAAAATCGGATTTTGTCTTCACTTTACAAATCACTCTTTCATGGTTGCTTTATRATCAAACACCTGAAATGTTCCATTTGATTTCATCTATTGAATCTCCAGTCAGCTTAGCGAATGGCCTTACAAGAGGAGGAGCCCGACGGGCAAGGTGGCACACATCTGTGATCCCCGCAGCTTGGGAGGCTGAGGCAAGAGGATCGCAAGTTCAAAGCCAGCCTCGGCAAAAGTGAGGCGCTAAGCAACTCAGTGAGACCCTGTYTCTAGATAAAATACAAAATAGGACGGGGGGTGTGGCTCAGGGGTTGAGTGCCCCTGAGTTCAATCCCTGGTACCACCCCCAAAAAAGGAGGAGCCTTAGACTATAGGTTCAACACTTTCTTGTTGGCTCTGAGAGTCTCCCAGAGGAGCCGGCCCCATGGGGCTGCAAGAAGCAGGCTCTGCACAGGCAGCTGCTTGGACTGGCCCCACAGGGCAGGGCAGGGCAGGGCAGGGCAGTCCAGGCTCAGTGGAGCTGCCGTTCTGAACGGTCTTTTGTGCAGGCTTCAGAAACAAACTCTGAGCAGTCACCATGTGTGGATCTCGTAAAAAGATTTCTTGATGGTTGAAGCCGTTTTCCAGAAGGCACCAGCCTGAGTAGCCTGGTGAGCTGGCCTCATGGATCTTCTCAGTGAGATCCTTTTAGAAGAGGTCATAGTCACCCTTCCCAGGRGGGAGACAAGGTAAGATGTGGAAGTCGTTTTAGAATGGCAGTGCGGACTGGTTCCCAGAGCTTCCCATCAAAGGGTTTACTGTGAGCTGCACAAAGAGCCAGGTGCACACTAACTCTACATACCACTTATCATCTAAACCAGGATGTTATTAATTTAAGTGTCTGGAAAAGGAAAGAGCTGCGGTTACTCCAGGCAAAATGATACCTCCATCACCAAGAATGTAACCTATGAAAAAGCATCAGTGTCCCATGTCCTCGCTTAACAAGCGGTCTCCCAGAACTCAACAGGTATTGGCCTTGAATACCTCGAGTTTTTTTTTTTTTTTTGGCAGTGGTGGTGTCTGTTATAGAGATAACCTGAGTGGTCCTGTGTCCTGGCTTTGCACACTGGCCTGCAGGTGCCACGTGTAATGGGGAAAGGTCAGGTACAGGCTGCATCAACAATTTTTCTCAATAGACTTAATAATTCAGCTCTAAAAGGCCTTAAATAGAGGCTTGTTGGCGTTCGAACCTTTTTGTTAAGAGGGTCAGATAAAGATGGTGTGAGCTGGCCGGAGTGGTTTTACTGGGCTTTATAAACAGTGGGGCTTTGTATTAAACCAAGGAGCCAAGGGCAGGTCTCGGCTTCCTAAATCCGCCATCCAGAGTTCACGGTGCTGCTGGAACACAGTCAAAGCAAGTTCCGGTTGATTATAAGGCACAGCCTTCTAGGARACCACTGGGGCCATGATTTTTAAAACCCCACTGCTCTGGAGCACCCCCCCCCCCCGCCCCAGCAGCCTTGAAGCAGGCTGGTGAGACGGCCTGGGTGGGGGTGCGGGGAGAAGCCCACCAAGGCTCCGGAGGTCTCAAGCCGGCCTTATGCAATAGCCAGCACCACTAGGCCATGAGGAAGCCTCCCAAGGGGGACTTCCAGATCTCGCAGCCTCCGYCTGGCTTTCCAGGGGCCGGGCGGCTTGGTGACGTCTTCGGTTCCAGGCAGCATCGCACAGGGAGCGCCCTGTGACACCCTGCAGGGAGGTCTGCACGGCACGGGGCACCTCCGGCTCTCTAAGGGCCACGCAGACGTCTCGGGTGTGCAACGTCGTCGTCCTGGCCCTAACACCTGCCTTGACCTTGCTACCTGACACTCGGGGGCAGGGGCCTCCCTTGGCTGGGTCTTGAGTGGGCAGGGCGACACGATGCTGAATTAACCCATCAAGTGACAGACTGTTGTCTTTCCTCCCGGGGCAGCGGGCGGGCTCCACAGCAACCGTCCGCCTCCCGCTCCCCAGCGCCTTCCCGCGGCTGCATTGCTCGTGGCTATACTCGGGGCCGAGCGCAGGGTCTTCACTGGGCCTATCTCCACGCGGACAGCCACCGCCCAGCACCGCGAAGACCCGTTTCTAGAGACGCTAACAAACAGCCGCGCAGGCGCACTGGCGTTCCACTAAGGCCACCCACACCGCTTCAAGAACAGCGCAGGCGCACAACAATGCAGTCGCGAGGCCGGTCTGGCGCATGCGCAATTAGACTGCCACGGGACGCACACTGCGCACGCCTAGGTTTTTCCCCAATCCTCCCGCAGCTCAGGACAGCGGGATGAGCAAGCTAAACTGCGTTCTCAGAACGCACGCGCTGCGTCCAGAGGCTTCGCGTGCGTAATGCCGTACCTCTACCCCCTTCGGTTCCTTATCTGGACGCCTGCCAGTCTTTCCCGACCCCATTTCTTAGAAGCCGGAGGTTCCGGCGCTTCCCAATGGCTCAAACTCACCCCTCTCGCAGGTGAACGATGTCTTGTCCTCCTCGGTCCGGACACTGCGGCCCTCTCCCGGTGGTCAGGCCGGCACACGGACTATCGATCGCTCACTGCTCCTCTAATCACGACCGACTGCCTAGGAGCGCCGAGCAATGGATGCGGCGGCCCCGCCCTCCCTACGGAAGGCGGGAGGGCGACTTCCGGCCTGAGGTGCGGCGTCGGACCGCCAGGTCACGCCCTCCGTTTACTCTGACTCCCGCAACGAGGAGTATTCTTCATTTTATAGAAAAGTAAACAGGCTGGGTGAAATAAAGTGGCCACAGCGCCAGAATTTGAACCCTCAGTGGGGCTGCGTCCGCGGCGGTTCCGCGGGAAGGACCCGGCAGATGGCCAGGGACAGGAGCCCCGCTCCGCCTCGGGCGCGCTCCCTGGGAGCAGAGGCGGCTCGGAGCGCGGCCCGCCCTGGTTCGGGGCCGGTCCGCACGGGGGACCCGTGCCGGCTTCCCACCCGGGAGGTGGGTTACCGGGCCTTAAGTAGCAACGGGGAGCCGAGGCTCCAGGCCAGCGCAGCCGCCACCGCCGCAGGACACCTCGGAAGTGTCCAAATCAGCCGGGACGGTGGCGCACACCCGCCGTCCAGGGGCTTCGGAGGCGGAGGCAGGAGGAGTTCAAGTTCAGAGCCAGCCTCGGAAATTAGGCCGGGAGGTGGCCGGGTGGTGTGTGTGTCTGTTTACACACAGAGAGCTGTTGTCATCAGGGCCTCCCGAAGCACGTCCCCATAACCTGTCAGGCTCACTGGGAGCTGGGGACTGATTCCAGGGTCATGCATCCAGAGTCCCCGGGGATGACCCCACCATTGAGCGGCGCAGTGTTGCTCGTTGTCCCTGGAAAACTGCAGGCAAAGAGGAAGTGCTCTCGGCCATCTGCGAGCCAGAGGAGACTCACTGAAAGCACAACATTGTTCCTGGTAGGATTTTGGTGATAATCGGGGAAGCCCAGCTCTGGGCTAACCTTCCTGCGTCAAGGGCAGACACAGACCATCCCCATCACCACTCTTCGGTTTTTAGTTGGCTTTTCTTGTTACTGTGAGCAGAAGACCTGGCAAGAGCGATGCAGAGGAGGGAAAGTTCATCTTTGGCTCATGGGTTTTCAGAGGTTCAGTCCACTGTTGGCTGACTGCATGGCCCTGGCCCAAGGGGAGGCAGATCACGGCAGAAAGGTGTGATGGTGGGAAGCACAGGACGTGACAGCCAGAACGCAGAGCGAGCTCAGCTTGCCAGGAATTAAATATAAATTTATACCCCAGGGACCTGCCTCCTCTGGCTATACCCTACCTGCCTACAGTCACCACCCAGTTAATCCATATCCATGGATTAATCCAGTGATKTAGGTTACAGCCCCCATAACCTGATCACTTCTGAACCTTCTTGCATTGTCTCACCCGTGAGCTTTTGGGGGACACCTCACATCCAAACCATAACACTGTATCTCACAAGTGATGCACAGAACTACTTGTCCCCACAAGTCAGAACAAAGTGCTTGTGCACCAAACTCTGGTTTAGCTCCTCTCCTTCCTCCAGACCCCTGGACATTGGCCCACCCTCAGCCTGGRACAGCAAGCAGCCCCAAATGTTTTAGCTCTCAGGATAAAATACTTAATGGCCTTCTAGCCCACAGCTCTGTTCTTCTGTTTAATCCCACTAGCCTGTTCCCTATAAAAGCAAAGTTCTTTTTGCCTAAGTCCCAGGGTGCTTGCAGACCCAATGGCCACAATAGTGTCGCTATTCCAAGTTTCCCTCCCCCAAAGCATAGACCCTTTCCTCCTCGTAATAATCCTCTCAAMTAGAAATCTCTCTTTGCTGAGTCTGAATTTGGTGTGTACTGGACAGTTCAGGGCTTTTACTTTACAAGGATTACCCAGTCGGGTGCACATTGGCCCCCAAGTTGCCAAGAAAGGCCTCATGATGGGGGCCATAGGAGGTTTGTTTCCAGGGCCTCCTTCCACAGTGCTCAGGAATGGAGCCCAGCTGTTTACAGAGACAAGCCCTTTTGCAGATTTCTTTTGTGTTTTTGTTTTGTTTTCTGGTGCTGGGGACTGAGCCTGCCCCACCACCGAGCTCCGCCCCCAGGTTTGCTTGTTTCCAAGAGTGGCTTGGTGAGATGWATCATGGGCATGAGTGAAATGTTTTCTTAATAGAAAAGAACCACGATTTTTCACGGTTGGGTTTCACTTCCCACAGTCTTGTTGCCACCCCCACCCCACCCCTTCCCCTCATTCCTGGTGGCTTTGGAATTGGCCATGAAGCTCACGGACCCATTTGAGTGCTGTGGAAGGCACCACACACACAAAGAGCCATCGCTTTGGCCCATATTTGTGATTTTTCTCCATTAGATCAAAAGCTTGTAATTTAAATATATGCAAGTGTGCTGGGAGCATGCGTGGCTTAATTATCAAATTTATTCAAAATATACAAACAAGGCTCCAGACTGGAAAACAACATTTAGCTTGCCACGGAAGAGACATTGGATTCATTCCAATTGCTTAAAGAGGAGAGTGAGACCTCCCACCTCTGGGATCCTCCAGCTACTCCACCCAGACCTTCCATTGCACACGGCAAGGYGTGGCTCACCTATTATGTGCCTTAATTCCTCTATGGCATGTGACCATCCCTGCTTGAGCTAGGACCTGGTGACCTAAAATGACCTTTGTTGTTTATTACACAAGGTACCATATTGTGTGGATTCCTCTAGGGTGCAAGCAAGACCTTCCAAATGGGATACTTGCTTTGTCTCTGGGGCTCAGTATCTTCCTGAAATGGGTGTGACCACTACCTTCCTAAGGACGTTGTGAAGGTTAGATAAGACAAGCTCTTCTCCTTGCTCTGTCTGTCCCAGAATGCACATGATCCAAGCCTCCATTTACCTGCTGGTAGCGGCAGTCTGCCCTTCCTGTTCCAAGTTCAAGGACCCCCCAAGCAAGTGCAGAACTTCCTAAAATACAGGTTCTTGGGCATCTCCTCTGGAGATTTTGATTCAGGAGCTCTAAAGTCAGACCCAGGATTCTGAATTTTCACTAACATTTTAGGAAGCTCAGAGAGAGATGGCAACCATATCTTGAGAAATAGTCCTGGGGATTATAGAGGTCCAGAGACAGGGAGTCAGAAGGTCTAGAGGGTCTGGCAACTGCATCAAACTGACCTGAGGTTCAGGGCCTGGAGCCTTGTGGCCAGGGCTGGCTCCTAGCTCTTCCTGTTTCGAAAACTTCTCAGGTAGTACCTCTTCGTGTTGCACACAGAGCCCTTACCTGGGCCACAGCCGGCCCAAAGCTCCTGGTCAGACAGGCGCAAGCATTAGTTCCCTTCTAGATGAATGATACTGCCTTTCCCGCTCAGATACTATTTTAAGCCCTTGAAAGACAAATCTTCTTTGATCTCTCTCATCCCCACCCCACCCCACAGTAGAACCCTGGAATCATTCTCTACTCATTCATTCAACAAATATTTATCAAAGACTGTAYATGGAGTTGGAGTAATAACGACCAATAAGGTGAATGTATTCCTTCTCCTCATTCATTGATTCATCTGTGTTGCAAATTTTTATTGAGCATGATTCTATACCAGGAATGGGGCTAAGTGTTTGTATCAGTTATCTAGGACCACAGGTGATGCTGCSTAACAAACCATTCCCAAACTCAATGGTTTAAAACAATAAATCTACAGATCACCTTTGTGGCAGGCTTGGCTGATCTTGGTGGGACTTGCTCACATGAGTGGCCAGCTAGTCGTTGGCTAAGGMGATGAGTCATGAGCCTGTTATCACCCGTTATCAATCCTGTTCACATGAATGTGGCAGGATTTCAAAGAAGGAACAGGTGCTGTATGCCTCTTAACTCATCCATGACTTGAACTACTTCTGTTGGCTAAATCAAATCACATTCTCCTGGAAGGACAAGTCACAAGGGTGTGTCAGCCAACTTTCCACCACTGTGCAAATACCTGAAATGAATCAACTTTTAGAAAGAAAGGTTTGTTTTGGCTTACATTTTGAGAGGTTCAAGTCCATGGTCAGTCAGCCCTGTTGCCTTGGGCCCTGTGGTGAGGGAGCACGCTATGGCAGGGAAGAAATTGGTGCAGCAGCGATGCTCAYGTCAGGCCAGCCAGGAAGTCAAGAGAAAGAAAGAGGAAGAGCTGGGGTTCCAGCATCCCTTTTGAGGACACGCCCCTCCCCAGTAACTCAAAGATGTCCCTCTAGGCCCCACCTCCTAACTATTCCACCGACTCTCAGTAGCCCAAACTAGAACTAACCCTTTAACACATGTGCCACTAGGAATATTCAGGATCCAAACTCTAGCACAATGTTAAAAGAGAATCCACTGCTGGAGAGCAGAGACGCGAAGTCACAACGCAAGAATCTTAGCTACAGAGAAGTTGAAGAGTCATAACTATGATCACAGTGAGCAAACAGACACATCCCTGCCCACATTCTGGCAATGGGAAACAAAGTTTAAAAAAATTTTTTTTAGTTGTCAATGGAACTTTATTTTATTTATTTACTTATATGTGGTGCTGAGGATGGAACCCAGTGCCTCTCACAAGCCAGGCAAGYGCTCTACCACTGAGCTACAGCTGCAGCCCGGGAAACAGAATTTTTWAAAAAATCATAATTATATGTATAATTATCTACACAGTCATCTCTTGGTATCTGTGGGAGATTGATTCCAGGGACCCCCTTTACCAGATACCAAAATCCATGTTGCCCTAGTTCTTTATATAAAATGGTGTAAGACTTGCATACTCCTTATACACCCATCCAGTATATTTTAAATCGTTTCTAGATTACTTAAAACACCCAATGCAGTGTAAATGTTATGCAAAGAGCTATTATTCTACATTGCTCAGGGAATAACAACAAGAAAAGAATTTGTTCAGTATGGATGCAATTATTTTCCCCTTGAAAACCTCCTTCATGAGGTTTTCTACCTGAGGTTGGTTGAATCTGTGCACGCAGAACCCATAGATAGGGGGCGTGGTGACACATGCCTGTAATCCCAGGAATTTGGGAGGCTGAGGCAGGAGGATCACGAGTTCAAAGCCAGCCTCAGCAACTTAGCAAGGCCCTAAGCAACTAAGTGAGACCCTGTCTCAAAATAAGATATAAAAAGAGTTGAGGATGTGGCTCAGTGGTTAAGTGCCCCTGGGTTCAATCCCTGGTACCAAAACCAAACAGAACCCTTAGATAATGGAGGCTGGCCATATTATAAATAAAGTGGGAAGGGAGGTCAGTRGTGTCAGGTGGGTCGGGGAACTGCACTCACTACACAGGACGCTCAAAACCTCTCTGATAAGGTGACACCTGAGCAGAGACTGAGGCAGGGAGAGCCTGAGCCACGTGCTCATCTGTGGGAAGAAAGACTCCGGCCAAGGGAACAGAAGGACATTCACGGGGCGTCTAAAGGCACAGCGCAGAGGCTACGAAGGCTGGAAGAGGGCCTGGGGGAGCCCTGGGGATGGCSGGGAAGCTGAGGCCACGTGGAGTTTGGGAGAGAAGAGCAACATCCCCGCAGGTGTGAGGAGTTCACAGTGTGGAGGCGAAGCCAGGTACAGAAATATTTAATAAAAGAGTCATAAATAGCAATGCCTGCGAGCAGTTGTTCCGGCAGGTGACGTAAAGGGAATGTCTACAGA